TAAAGCAGAATGTCATTACTAATTGCATTGAGAGTAATCTAAGATTTTTTTAAAAAAAAAATCTGATAGGCATTCACACTTCAGGGTTCTACCGCATTTATTCAAATTGCAGGATTTTTTAAAAAAACTTGATTCAATGTTGTTTCTTCCATCATGTTAACAGATACTTTCTACAACTAAAGACAATAATTTTCCTGCTTTAGAGGTATTTAGCTTCTTTTATAGCAGAGAAATAGTGTTGCATTCAATAAGTTCCTACAGCCTAGTGCATCTTGGTTGGGTTAAGGCTAATTTTTGTGAAAAATCTAGAGCAGCAAGTGAAACTGTCATGAAGCTCTGATATTACAGAGAAATATTACAGGAAGTTACTGTTTTTCTTTCCCACCCCACTCCTAGTAAATGAGTGCTCACATTTTGGCTTAAACTACCATTAAAATAAGATGCTGCGTCCAATAATAGAAATCAATTAACTCTTATCATATACAATTATGGACAACCCAATCTTTTGAATGTGCAGCAGCCAACAATTATCAGTATTAAAAGCGACAATAGCAGCTTAGTATATCCAGGTTGTAAAGGCAGCTGCTGGCAAGAAAAAGAGTATTAGATCTAAAATTCAGGTAGTCCTTGAATTACAACCACAATAGAAGCCCAACATTTATGTTGTTAAGTGAAACATTTGTTAAGTGAGTTCTGCCCCATTTTATGACCTTTCTTGCCCCAGTTGTTAAGTGAATCACTGTAGTTCAGAGCTCTCCAAACTTGGCAACTTTAAATCTTGTGGACTTCAACTCCCAGAATTCTCCAGCCAGAATTCTGGCTGGAGAATTCTGGGAGTTGAAGTCCACAAGATTTAAAGTTGCCAAGTTTGGGGACCCCTGCTGTAGTTGATGAAGGTACTATTGTTATGTGAATCTGGCTTCCCCATTGACCTTGCTTGTCAAAAGCTCACAAAAGCTAATCACATGACCTTGGGCCATAGCAACGGTCATAAATATAAACTAGTTGCCAAGCATCTGAATGTTGATCATGTGACCAGGGAGAGGCTGCAATGGCTGTAAGTGTGAAAAACGGTCATAACAAGTCACTGTTTTCAGTGCCGTTGTAACTTTGAACAGTCACTAAATCAACTGTTATAAGTCAAGGACTATTTCTAGATCCTAAGAAAATATTGAACCCTACATTATAAAGCAACAGTTTCTTTGACCTCCAGATTCTTATGTTAAGGTTATGTTATTCTTTATGTTAAAATGGACCAGCTAAATATGAGCCAGCAGTGTGCAGTGGTAGCCAAAAAAGCTAATGCAATCCTAAGTTGCATTAACAGAGGGATACAATCGAGATCAAGGGAGGTACTAATACCACTCTATAAAGCCTTAGTAAGACCACATCTAGAGGACTGCATCCAGTTTTGGTCACCACACTATAAAAAAGACGTTGAGATTCTAGAAAGTGTGCAGAAAAGAACAAGGATGATTAGGGGACTGGAGACTAAAACATACGATGAACGATTGCAGGAACTGGGCTTGGCTAGTCTAGTGAAGAGAAGGACCAGGGGAGACATGATAGGGGTCTTCCAATATTTGAAGGGCTGCCACAGAGAGGAAGAGGTCAAGCTATTTTTTTAAAGCACCTGAAGGCCAGACAAGGAATAATGGATGGAAACTGAACAAGGAGAGACTTAACCTGGAAATAAGGAGAAACTTTCTGACAGTGAGAACAATCAACCAATGGAACAGCTTGACTTCAGAAGTTGTGGGAGCGCCATCACTTGAGACTTTCAAGAAGAGATTGGACTGCCATTTGTCAGAAATGGTGTAAGGTCTCCCGCTTGGGTGGGGGGCTGGACTAGATGACCTACAAGGTCCCTTCCAACTCTGTTAATCTCATCTAAAATGTGTGAGAAGGAAGCAGAAGGAATAATTTACTTTGAATAAATAACCCTCAATTCATTTGCTTTAGCATGATCTCTTAACAGGCAGCAAACAAAACTAGAGTCTATTTTTACCTTGAAACATCAAAGGGTTAGCAACTTTTTTCAACCTCCTACAACACTATCTAAAGATAAAAAACAGATTTAAGGAAAAGTGTATCTACTCTCCGCTTTTATAGATAATTCGGAGCCAATTTCTGGTGGCTTGTATATTCTATCTGCATTCCTAAAACTACAATTCAATATGGGAAAAACAAACCCTGAAAATAAACATGCAAAATTTAATTCAAACTGTTCCAGAAACAGTGCATAAATAGTAAATCCCATTCATTCCTTTACAGATTAGCATCTGGCCTGCCTGAAACTTATGTGTTCAGGTAGCTCTTTAGAGCGAGATACTGAGATATCCTGGAGGTAACTTTCAAGTAGCCCAAATTTGAAAGAATGAGATTACCAATTGCTATCCTTAAAACAGTGGGGGCGGGGTTGAGAATTGGACCTCAAAACTGAAATGAGCAAGGATCTATTTACGTTAGAAATTCCAACCTGGTTTTTTTTTTTTTTTTGCAGGTCTAATTCAGTGTTAAAGCTGCCTTAAACAATATCTAGATATACATTCCAGGGTTCTGGAATATATAAAAAGGAAGATCAAGGAGAGAAACAACCTAGAATTAAGGAGAAACTTCCTCACAGTGTGGACAATTAACCAGTGGAACAGCTTGCCACCAGAAGTTATGGGTGCTCTATTACTGAATGTTTTTTTTTTAAAAAAAAAGACTGGACAGTCACCAGTCTGAATTGGTCTCCTGCTTTGGGCAGGGTGTTGAATTAGATGACTTCCGATATATCTTCCAGGTCTATCCTGATTGAAGATCTGCGATATTCATGTAGAGAAGCTGCACGTATGTAACTTTTAGAATTATTAAACTTTTAAGGTGCCAGAAAATTCTTGTTCTCATAGTGATATTGTTATTTTTCTGACTTTTCTTTTTTTCTTCTTCTTCTGTGTTTTTTTGTCTTGGTACTGCTTCACATTCTTTCCCATCAGTTAAAAGAGCATATTTACTTTAAATTATGTGGGAATCATATCTTTGCTTATGAAAACATCAGCATGAACTATATACAGATTTGTTCAAATGAATAGCACAAAAGATAATACCAAGGCCACGGCAAATTTGCAAAGACTTTCCAGCTAAGTTCCTTGATGTTTTCCCCTAAAATTACATTCTAAAAGAATGGGTTTACTTTGTCAGAAAACAAGAGTGATATGTGGATAGACCATATTAAACCATTTTTGGACTGGACTTTATTTTGATCCGTGCACTCATGAACTGGGGCAATTATGAACCTGCTCTAAGTTAATTCTGTTATTGGACAAATTTAGATATATTTTAAGGTTCTGAGTCTAGGAATTAGGACCACTGTTTTTCTTTCCTGTTTTAGTGCACGAAGAATGGACAATCTCCATACAAAGCCTGGTGGGAGAATGAAACAAAATATTGGCTCTAAATTTAGCCATTCCTTATATGCCAAGACAGTAGCACAGTCATTTTAAGTTATTGAAAGCAATTAGCCTGACTCCATGGTCTCAGCTTGGTATCAACCAATAAATTTTTTATGGCTGTACCTAAAATTTTATAGAACACCATAAAGTATCTGTTTCCAAACTACTTCTGCGTTTCCAGGGAAAAGGAACCACACAACTTACGTGTTCTTTCCTTAGCAAATTTTACAAGAGGAAAGTAAAGTTAGAAACTGAATGTGTCTGATTCAATTGTGTCCAATTATCTTGTGAATTCCCTAAATAAAGGAGAGAAACTTCCATCTCAAAATAATTTTTGTTTTGTGGTGGGTGTAATTGTTAATACATTCTTATGGACAGACTCATCTACCCATTGTTTTAAGGGAGAGGATTTCTACACCTCCCCACTCCTTCCAGAACTTCCATTAGAAAGAAAAATAAATACAGGTAGCCCTCAATTTACCACCATTCGTTTAGTAACTTGTTGCAATAGCACTGAAAAAAAAAAGTGACTTATGACAATTTCAGGCTTACGACCAATGCCGCAAACCCATGGTCATGTGATCAAAATTCGGGTGCTTGGTAACTGGCATTTATAGATGAAGTTTGCAGCGACCACTTTTTGCAACCTTCTTAAAAGTCAATGGGGGAAGCCAGATTCACTGCATTGTAGAGATTTCCTGAACAACAGTGGAAAGCAGAGGTGGCGTTCAGCCAGTTCTGACCAGTTCTGGAGAACCGGTAGTGGAAATTTTGAGTAGTTTGGAGAACTGGCAAAAATACCACCTCTGACTGGCCCCACCAAATCCATCTATTCTGCCTCCCGAGTCCCAGCTGATTGGCTGGGTTTTCTTTTGTTGCTCTGCACAGGAGAACAGAGCTGAAAAGCAGGTTAGAGGGAAGGGAGTTTGCAGTAACTTTCCCCCAGGAGTGGGGAGGGAATGGAGATTTTACAGTATCCTTCCCCTGCCACGCCCACCAAGCTATGCCTTTCAAGCCACACCATGCCCACCAAACTATGGCCACAAAACTGGTAGTAAAAACATTTTTGAATTCCACCACTGGTGGAAAGATAGCAAAATAGGGCCAAACTCACTTAAAAACAGAAATTTTGGATTCGATTGTGATTGTAAGTCGAGGGCTACCTGTACTGCATGAAAGGAAAGGACGACATGTGAACTCAAAGACAGGAAAAAAAAAAAGAAAATTTCCTTCAGGTCCCACATTTCCATTTTGCCACGATAATGAAAAGCACACACACACTTGGGCATTTTGGTTTGATATAATCAAGGTCTTTATTTATTGATCTCACTGTAACAGCAACCATCGGCGAGAGTGTTTTCCCAAACACCTGTTTCAGTAAAAATCAGATACGTACAGAAGTACCCAAGGATTTTTCAGACAACCTTTCATGGTCAAAACAAGAATCCTGGGGTTTCGTTAAACATGGATGATGCGCCAAAAAAGAAAGAAAAAGAAAGAAAAAAAAAGGAATAGGGGAAGATACAACTGGTTTTAAAATGTATTAAGAACATTCAGTAATCTTTCTGGCAGCAACCTCTACTCTTACTTCAACACCAACAAATAAGATAGGCCTCAAGCTGCCACATATAATGTCTGAAGGAGAACTTTGCCCACTTAAGGCAAAGAAAGGCACGCCGGTTTGCCATCCTCATGCAATGAAATAGGCAATAGATCAAGGGTCTCCAACCTTGGTAACTTTAATCCTTGGGGTTGAAGTCCGCCAGGCTTAAAGTTGCCAAGGTTGGAGATCCCTGCAATAGAGGGAAGATAGAAGAGTATTCCTCAGATAAATGGGGACGAAAGTGCTGATTGATTTTCCCACATCTTGTTTGATTTACAACCATTTTATAAACAGCTGGTCCTTATAACATGGATTTCCACGTTAGATGAATTATTGTCGATGCTTGGAAAGCCAGATGTATGAAACATCATCAGCTAAACCAGATACATCTCATAATCAATCCAAAGCATTTTCCCTGATGTTATTTCTTCTAAAAGTAATTTACACACACACATATTTATTTATATATATATTGGGATGTATATATTCACCCATACACATATATTATTTTTGCATTCACCCTCTCTCCACAGTAGAATTCTCTTTAATGTTCAAGAGTTACCCAGTTTTGCAGATGATCGGCAAACCGCAAATCTTCCAACCTGCCAACATCCCTATGAAATTGCAGGGTGCAAGAGTCAAAATGTTCAAGCAATCTATCACCATGCCACATCTGCATTAGAATTTATCCTTTTCCCTGTTCTTTGAACTCCAATTCCTTAGCCACAAATGGAAACAATAGCCTTCAGAGAGACATGCCTATCAAAACGTCCTTCATGGACTCACCACTGTCAAAATTAACTGAAAGGTCATACAGACAAATCTTACTTTTACATCCATCAGCAAAATCTATTCAGCAAGATAAGATTAATAGAGAAATGAGGAGGGGATGTGGACCAAAATTATGTTTGGTACCAAGTTCCCAACTGCAGAACGAATCCAGAAAGTTTTAACACAGTCCTGAGGATTACTGAAAACTCAATGCAACAAAGCTTAACTGTCCAACTATTGAAATATTAAAGGAGCAATCCATGAATGATGGCGAAGAGTGGAAACCTGAGGGTGACATAATATTAGATACTAGAGGCCTAGGACAAAAGAATTTTGAGATGGGAACCAGCATTCCGGATGCTTTTTCTTGGGTGAAGAACTTGCAGAATATCTATCTATCCAGCCTCTCAGCCACAACTGTCAAGGTCCACCTAGATTAAAGCCAGGCCAATCACTCAGGTAGGCAAGCACAGAGAAAGAATTAAAGATTCCCTCAAACCCCCCCCCCAAAAAAAACAAAAAAAAACAAGTAGCCTCACACAAATATCTACTCAGGGCATGTTTTTTCTTAGAGGTAAAGAGTCTTTTTGTTATCGTTCAACACCTGGTTGAAAATCTTTGCCCATCTACTAGTAGATCCCGATTCAAATGTAGCCTCCTGGCCAAAGGACTGGAACACTAGCCAATTTACAATAGAAAGTTTGTTAATCCAATCCTATATGTAGACAAATGCCAGAAACAGTAGCAGAATTGTGAGCTCTTAAGTTAGGCCCTAGAAATCTTCATTGAAGCATTGAGCACACTATCTTTGGTGAGAGCAAGGGCCACTTACCATGGATCTGTTCAAGTGTTCTAAGTGGCATCTCGGAGTCAAAACAGATAGTATTTTAGCCATAACACTGGTTATTTTCCAAGGCCACTATAAACATCCTTTATTGGTTCTCTGTACAAAAGGTTCTTATTCCTATAACAGAAATCCTTCACAGTGATGATGAGCCATAGCAAGTATTTAAAATATTTTAATTCTACTGTTCCTACTATACCTAAAATAAACTTAAGTCCTCCCAATTATAGAAAGCAGTGGCTCACTTACCACAGTTGTTGCAAATAATTACAAGTGTCCACCCTGTCTTCCATTCTTTTTTTGTGAAAATCAGCAAATAAAACCAGATATCAGAAGCACTCTAGACCAGTATTTGACAAGCTCAGCAATTTTTAGATAGGTAGATCTCAACTCCCTGAATTTCTGAGCCAGCATTAAACACTGGTCTAGACAATTGAACTGGAAGAAGTTTTTTTAAATCAACATACCAATTTGGGATGCTGTAGCTAACAGGATGGAAGACCAGAATTTCGATTTTTTTTTTTTTTTGCCACAAGGAACACACTTTGTGGAATTAATTGCATTGTTAAGCACAACAATAAAGAAATAAACACCAATCAAATATTTAACTGTCTCACATAATCTGAGGGGATGGAAAGTAATAGACTCAACTTGCCTTTCTCGGTAAACAAGCCTAAATTGAATTGGCAAACTGCAACCTATTATAGTTAAATCTTGTGTTATTTTCCACCCTAGGCATTTGCTGCGTTTATTTATTCTTCGGCATACGTGAATTGCTACATTTTTGCACAAGCGTTCAACCCAATGCATGAAATCCAGGTACTTCCAGTGAAATGCTTTTAAATATGTACTCTTGGTGCAAGGGTGACTTCTGGTTTCAGTGTCTGTCTTTCATCATTACTAGATGGATTTTGCTATTTTTTAAAAAATAATGTTGTAAATAGCTTCTGGTCATTCAGACTCAAATTGCTATCTGGAAAGTTGAGAGGTTCCAGAACAGCCAAGCTGGTCCAACTTATCATTATTAGTTTTTCATAAAGAAAATATGGCATCTTAGGCTATCTACCTTTTAGTACAAAATGTCCGCCATTGATTGCCGAAATCTTTTTGTGCAAATGTCACATAAAATCCTTCCAAACCTGCAAAAGCTATTTATTTGCAAAGCACAACTTCCTTAAAACTAGGCATCCTTGTTTGACCTGGTAGAATGTCGCCAGTCTCTCCAAAGATCAAGACCAATGTTTTTCAGCCTTGGCAATTTGAAGGTGTGTGGGATTCCCAGAATTCCCCAGCCAGCTAACACCGGTAAAGAGAACTGAAGTCTCGTCCCTTTTTTCCATGTGCTGCATGCACAAGATCTTAAAAAGGAGCTTCCACCACAATCACCTTCACTTTCTCTACTCCCCCATATATATATATATCCCTCACTATGTTTGTCTGCTGGCCTAATCCTAGGTAAATCCAAAGAGAGACTCAATAAATGAACTTTAATTAATCATTTTCAGTCAGTTGATTACATCTATACAGTATTTCAATATGAAGTTTTAAGAAAAGGGCAGAAAATAAAGGAAAGCATGTTCTACACCAGATATAAACCTGTTCCTTTTTGTTAGCAAAAAAAGGGAATGGACTAAAGCCTGCAGCCTTACCTACCTCAAATGTTTGGCGTGGATTCACTTAGCTCACAATAGTGCTTAAAAATTTATCAGCTATTCCAAACTTTCTTTACAAAAAAAAAAAAAAAAGCAGGGGAAATAATCATATATAGCACTGGAGGCCTGTTTAGAAGATACAACGCTAATTTACTGATGAAAGAGATTGTGGTTCTGAACTTGAAACAGGTTAGTAATAAAAATCAGCGGCAAACATTTTTAAATGTTTGCCGCTTATTTTTAAATGCCTAGCATTGTTATATCTTGGTCTTCTCTATCGGTTCTCAGAGGGTGAGAACTATATATACTGTGCTAGGGGGATAAATTCTGCAGAAGAAAGCAATTATCTTTTTTTCTCGGTAGGTTTCCCTTCTTGTATTATAAAATGCAGCTTTATTCGTAGACAAGGATAGGACGTACAATCCTGAAGGCATGAGAGAGAAAATGGCCAAGAGTGAGCCATGTTTTAGGGAAATGGAATATTATTTGTTTCTTAATGACACTCATTATTTTCTCAGAACCATTGGTAAATTACAGTATATACTGGCTCAATTTTATAAACTGGGGAAAACTGCAGCAGAGACAGACCAGGAGAGATTTATCCAAATACATGAGGAATCCTGCAGTAGAAGAGAAATCTGTTCAATCCTTCTCTCTGGAACACTCCTTCCTTCCTTCATGAAATTCTCTGATAAAGTTGTTGTTTTTTAATTATGAAAAAAGTGTCCTATTAATGGTATTTTGCTAGTTAAATCATCGGAAGGAAAAAAGTAACATACCAAAGTTAATTCCCAAGTTCCAAATATCTAAAAAAAAAAAAAATAACTGCAAGGTGAACAAGTTAGCAGCCCCTCAAACGCCATTCTTACCCTCTCCTTCCCTTGCTGGAGTTAGCTAAACTGGGATTGTGATTAAAGCTTCAGTTTTGCCGAAATCTGCCAAGCAAGGCTGTATCTCACCTCTCCCATCATGGCCAGTGAAGTTTCAGACAGAACCGTCTGTGTTTCTGATTTATGACCGAACATGCAGTGCCCAAATCCAGATGCTTACACTGCACTTCAAGGGATTCTTCCCTTGACCAGCTGCATCCTAGTCACAGCATTCTCACCACTTTTGAAGCAGTGATCTTTCCCCAGAGACATTGCAAAGAAGAGATTATTCCTGAGACATCGACAGTTACAAAGCAATTTTGCTTCTGTATTATTCACATTTTTACAGTAGGCAAAACAAAATAAAATCCTGTCTTTCTTATACGCCTCCAAAGCTATCACAAAGGCAGAGGGGAAGCAACAACCGTCCCCGCCAGTGCTCTACATTTTAGATCACAGCCCTCCCCACTTTCTAAATCCAGTCAATTTTGATAAGTTGCCAATTTATTAAGAGAATTAAGTCACTTCCCAGATTTGAAAATATAGGTGAGTCCAAGAACTGAACTAAATTCTATCAAGTCATTTTATAGGCCAAAATCCAGTAGGACGAACATATTCTTCTCAGATATTCTTCTAGAAGTGAAGCCTACATTAAAAACAAGTATAATTGCCACATTCCCTGAGGCTGTGTCACTTCCCACTCCCAATTATGCCTGAACAATAAAATCCATGTGCAAAATTGCCACATCGATGTGGCCTCCCCACTAGGGAAGCTAGCACAATTCAGTCATTCTGTTTTTGAGGTAGCACATGAATCACTGTTGGAAGACTTCCTAAAGGAACCAGAGGCAAATATTTTAGAGAAGCAAGAATTTTAGAACAGTAGAAATCTCCAACCCCCATCAGCTTCAGATAACAAGTCCAATAGGCAGGGATAATGGGAGTTGCAGTCTAATGACATCTGGGTGGGTCATGGTAGCTTATCCTTGCCTTAGAGGCTTCGTTTTCAAAATAAAGTTACAACGGAGGAAAGCATCACTGAAGACGGGACAAACACCCAGAAACTTCAGGGTGTGTGTGTGTGTGTGTCTGCTATCTTTAAAAAAAAATCTAGCGAGGTCACAGCAAGCATGGTCTTAAGCATTATTCCCTCTTCTGGGAGAAGGAAATACATCTTTTCCGCTGTCATCGCTGTAGTTTTTGTTTTAAGTCTGCGTCCTAAAATAATTAACTTTTTTGGGGAAAAAATCTGCTTCCCATCTATTGGTGAGATACCTTTAAATGAAGCAAAGATGTTTTATTTACTGCATTAGCCTAGGCCAGGGGTTTCCAAACTTGGCAACTTTTAAGATTTGCGAACTTCAACTCTCAAGAATTCCATTTTGGCTGAGGAATTCTGGGAGATGAAGTCTTAAAAGTGACCAAGTTTGGAGATCCCTGGCCTAGACAATAAAAAAGTCTAATATTGCAGCATTCTCATGGTGCAAAGTAATCAAGGGGCCATGTAGTCATTGCATGGATTCATCCATTGGCTGTATTAAACTGATCCACCAATTTTCTCTCTCACAGTGACTGTTGTTTTTTTTTTCTCACAAGGATGAATTTCTACAGAGTGATCCTTACTTGCTCTCAGCAACAATTCCAGGCAAACAGCACAAGTTCACTCATGCCAGAATTAATCAACTTGGGAGTTGGGTGGAAAATGGCCAATATATCCAAATAAACAGAATAAAGTGAGATCATCAGCCACTCTTCCTCCATAGTGACACTGGATCTATAATAGGCTCCAATGTGACTGATTTAATAATGTATGAATTCAAGGAACAGAAGATAGTCACCAAGGAACAAATAGGTCTTGCGGTGAAATCTTTCTGATCATTCACCCGTTCAAATTCATTTGAAGTCACACATCATGAAATCAGCACTTAGCATCTTCATAATTAATTGATCCTTAAGGTTCCCTGGTCCACACAAAGACTTTTTCACAAATTCCATTTTTGTTTTGTTGGGTTTCTCCTAATTAAGTATAACCAGATTACTTTATTTAATTATTTTGGCACAAAGATGCACTTGCCAAGAACCCACCAGATGTTACTGAGCAGCAAAAATTAAAGACTGAAGACGAATAGTAGAGAACAGTGTCTCTCAAACTTCACAACTTTAAGCTGTGTTGACCAACTGCCAGATATCTGGAAGCTGAAGTCCATGCAGCTTAAAATCGCTGAGTTTGAGAAACGCTGGTATAGAAGCCCATCAAGTGTGATACACCCCAATTATATTAAGAAAAGATGTGGTTCACTTTTAACACTGGTGGGTTTAAAGGAGGAAATTGGAAAGAAACCTTTTTTGGGGCAGGGGAGGGGGGGGGAAATGATATTGGGACGAAATGCGAAGTGAAATGAATGCATGATGAAGTGGTGATTCTAAATTATTTATCTATTTTTTTTTAAAAAAAAGAAATTTTCAGGGGAAGCAGAAAAAGAACTTCAGTAATACTCTTTTAGGAAAATCTCACGGCAGCGCCCACATGAAGAGTTATACTAACTAAAAAAGACAAGTTGAGCAACAGCGTTTAGAAATATCGAAGAGTGCATTCTGCACATCAAGAGAGATATAACATAGAAACCAATTAATAAATTGACATCAATTTAACAGCAGTTAAGGGAAAGGAGAACAATGGCAGTGTCGTGTCCCTTCAAATATATATCCACCCTTTCCATGCCCCTTGTGTGTTTTGCAATAAATATCCAATTGTTGATAGAAGTTTAATTCTCGCATGTGCATGGTTTTGAACAGTTGTCTCTAAAGTGCGAGAAGCCAAGGGACGCTCCTTAGCCGTATAAATTTATCATGGGCTCCACGTCAGTCACAGGGTGAGTGAGTAAGGCAAGCAGAGGGATGGGGGATGGGTAGGAAGCATGGTATGATTAATGGAAATCAGGGAGAGTCCTCTTATCCTTTGGCACTTCAAAGACTGAAGTGAAAATTCTGTGGAAACAGCAGCAGCAGCAGCGTCGTCTTCTTTTTTCATCCTTCGAGTTATTGAACCTGATGGTCAAAATCAGATGTACACAGGTGATCAGGGATTGCTGTCTCTCCATGGTTACCCTCAGGGAAAATCAGATGTCCATCTCAAACTGAGCATCATCACCTGATTGAAAGACAAAGACACATGCAAATCAACAGAAAAATTGTAGGGGGGAGAAATTTTGTTTTTTTTTTAAGTCTCCTAAGAGGACAGTGAATTCTTACTTTCAATGGCATTTGAGCCAGATCTCACGGACACGTATAGGTGGCCAAGATAGCAGAACAGGCAAAACCATAGAAAATGCAGGTGGGATGTGCCATTTTAACCTAGCGAAAAGGTTATCACAATCATTGGCTTAAAAAATACCAAAGAAAGAATCTGCCCAGCATGTTTGGTGAGATATACCTATGCTTAAGTACTCGAGGATGTATTTTGCTTATGCTTGATCTGTTTAATTTAAATGCTCCTTTATAAGAGGAGTTGACTCTGGCAATCAGTACCTTTGCTTCCTTCTGCTGCATGAGGATGTAACCAAAATGGACAATGTGTTTTGATCTAAAACGGAGGTGTCAAATTCAATTTCATTGAGGGCTGCATCAGGGCTGTGTTTGACCTTGGGGGAGGGGGGATCCCTCCGTGGCTGACTGGGCAGGTGTGGCCAGCTTTACACCACTCCCCAAACTGCTGGCAAGCTTCCTCTTTGCATTGGGTAGACCGGGCCGAAGCCACACTGGCCCAATGCTTCCTCTTCGCATGGGGTAGAGACTGGGCCGAAACGATGCAGGCCGGCCCCTTCCGTTTTCCAGGATGGTCCCGTGGGCTGGATCTGATCACATCGCAGGCCAGATCCAGCCCACGGGCCTTGTTTGATACCTCTGATTTAAAGCAAAAGAAAAGAAAGAAAGAAAAAAAAAAAGGGGGGGGGTGAGAGAGAGAGAAAGAAACAAACAAAATCCAGCACATTTTAGAAGTTCTGCTGAAATGCTTTCAATCCACAATGGTTAAGGAGAAACAAAACTCAAAACCTTTTGGTTGTTCCAGCTTCTGATTAAAAAAAAAAAGCATCGGTGAGTGATTTAATGAGATTTATGCATCCTGGTGTATAACTTTCCCTCTCTCCGTTCCTCCTCTATGTGATCTGCATGCCCGTTTTTTCCTGCAACGGTTTCACACTCTGCCAACTCTCCTACCCACTGATCTTTCTAGTTCCTTCGCTTCAGCTGATGATGCTCAAGTGGGATCTCTTCATAGCATGTATTTACCCGATGGGAAGATAGGCAGTCAATACATTTAATTGATAAAAAAAAAAAACAATGAAATAATGATTCCTGACACAACTACTGTGCAGAGAGCCAGCGTCCCTTTCCTAGCTTTCCTCATTCCATTAACTTCTTAGACACACTATATTGCCAAGAAAACACACTAACTTTGATTTTTTTTCAAGATCATCTTCTGCTGCGTTATGGAATCACTATTTTGGGTGCATATTCCAAAATAGAACTGCCCCCATTTCATTCTGTATATGGGCCAATATATCCACAAGACATTCCACTTTGGGCCTGGAGCCAAAACCCAACGCCGTATGAACGTTACCTGATCATGGTAAAGTTCAGGCATGGAACGTTGGAGACATTTCTTGCCTCCAACATTTTTTTAGTGTAAATTCAAGTTTTAGCTTGTGTTTTACATCTGGCCTTCCCTTCCTTTACTTCTAAACAGTTTGTTGTTGCTTTGTTATACACTGGTCTTTGACTGGAATAAACTTTGAACTTGAAATACAACAAGGTGGTTCTTTTGGAGACCAGCTACATAAAAGAAAAAAGGTATGTGTAGATTGTTATTAGCCTCACTTATCTAATTTTTTTGTTCCAATTCCTATTTACCAATAAAGGAGAATATTTGTAGCTCAATGTTGAAAAGGAGAGTCCTTGACGCTCTCTGAACTTGCTTGTTTTCTTGTTTCATAACCCAAATTGGTAACACCATCAGTGGTAGATGATGTTACCTAGTTTGGGTAATGAAACACCTGCAAGAATAAAACCAAGCTCAGAGAGCACCAAGGACCCCTCAATTCTTATAGCCTATAGTAAAGTTTCAGCTACTTCCTCAAGTCCATCTCACAAATGATACAGCAAAAATTGTGCACTTTACCTCCACTTGAACTACTTTATACCACTTTGAAAAGGTAAACATCTTTCAATAATTCATAGCTATTGACTTGCTCTGACATAGAAGGCAAAAGGGCAATAATTCACCATTCAGTTCCTACTCCATACAATTGTTGCAACAGTTCACTGTTCTCTACAAGCAAAAGCTCTCTAAACACATTAGAGAGAGAGAGAGAGAGAAAAAAAAATCTGCAGACAGGAAATAAATTACTTGATCCCAAGGTAAAACTCATATTTGAACAACATCACAGGGCAGGAAATAGAATAGCTCTGTATCACTTCCCATTCTGGCTCTAAAGAACAAGGACATCAGTAATAGTGTATGTTTTCCGCCCCCAGTAAAATCTCTTTGTTCTTCGGGGTAAGTGGTAAGTGGCCAACTGACATTACATTACAGCCACACTTGCGACCAGAATTCCCTCTCCAAGGAGGTGAAGTGAGTTGCACCCTATTTCACAACCTTTTTTGCCACCATTGTGAAGAGAATAACTGCAATGGTTAAGTGAATCACATGGTCACTAAGCGAATGCAGTTTTCCCCACTGACTTTGCTGGTTGAAACTCAACTGGAAAAGGAACAAATGATGATCACATAACCCTGGGACATTGCAATACGCTGGTAGCCAAGCACCCAATTCTTTTTTTTTTATTTTTTTAAGTTTTTACCAAGCACCCAATTCTGAACATGTGACTACGGGGCTCCTGCGATGGATGTAAGTGGGAAGACTGGTTATAAGTCACTTTTTTCAGTGCTATGGTAAACAAATGGTCGTGAGTCAAGGACTACCTGTGGCAGAGAGATGGATCGATACCGTCAATTGCAAGAAGGTATTTGGCACGGATGCTGACGCTGTACTTTGCTTCTGCTATAATGCAAAGGTTCTTACCAATTATAGGCTTCCCATCATGATTGTTCAGATTGTTTACTTCCACTTTGGAATCTTCTGTCACAGAACCAGGACTGGTAACTCCAGGGATATTGGGAAGGTGGCAAGGAGGGGTTTGAGCCATGGGAGAATTGCGCCGATCTAACAGAAACTTGCGGTCGTAGATGATTCTGGTACCTAGAAAGGTGGAAAAGGAACAAAAGTAACTGGCATATCAGATCCACTATGCTGAAAAAAAAAGGGGGGGGGGAGTTTATGGAGACCTTGGTGCTGTCCAAGCTTGGTTGTTTGCTTGCAGATATTGTGTTATCCAACTAGATAATATTATAATCAGTGTCCCAAACACCAAGGACTCCTTAGTTCAACCCTGAGCTATATATGCGTTCTTCTATTAAAACCAGAAGTTCGGCAGCACTGATTCTGATTAACTATTTTTTAAATTAAAATTTTATTTAAGCGTTGTTTTTTTCAGGCACGGGTGTTAATTGTTTTGCTTTCTTTATCTATAAAGAAAGGTTGTAGCTCTAAACAAGTTCCACATTCCACTGAATGCACTTTAGTTTATATCCAAAGTAAGAAAGCAAAAGAGCCAGTTTTGGTCTAGTAATTAATGTGCTAGGCTAGTAGAATGTAAGCAAAGTTTTACTCCTGCCATTGGCACGGAAGCTAGCTGGATGACTTTGGGCCACTCATGCTCTCTCAACCCTAGGAAGAAGGCAAACCATTTTATTTGTCTAGAAGTGGGATTCAATGGCACTAATTAAAGTATGTTTAGCATAAAACCTAAAACTTAAGTGAAGTTTTGCTACAAGGATGACTCTTGACTTCTCAACCCCGTACCCTATATCCTAATCTTTTCCAAGCAGTTGTCTCCCATGTTTGGTTGTACTTCAACAGGTTAGGGAAGGCTACATTACCCTTAAAACAAAATAAAGTATCATCAAGAAAATGAAACCGGTCTTTTCTGTTTATTCCAAAGCTGACAATGCCAGCTATTGATCAAGAGCCAACTCTGAACCATTGATAGTTAATACATGAGGCTTCGCTAATTCACCCACAAGCCCAAACACTGAAGCCTTTTCATACATTGGTACAGAAATCTCGAATGAGTCAAAAAAATGAAGACAATGAATCGTGGTTTGCTATTCAACAGAAAACCTTCACCACTCATGCCCTACTTGGAAAACAGAGGTATAACATGGAGCCATTTCATATTGGCCTCTTAGCTGGCAGCATTATTCACTGACCAGAATGTCAGTACGTGGTTTAATTACTAGCTTGATAGCCAATATTTCTTGAAGATAAGTTTAAAGTGATACATCCTAGGAAACCACCCCAGAGCTGTTCAAATCCCATTTTTATTTGAATTCACTTTCCTTGCTAAGTGGGATAATTGTTCCTTTCTTGGGTCTTCTTAATGCTTGCCTTGTCTTCTGTTGGAGCCTTCCTTTGCTAGCAAAGTCCCCTCACCATTGGCTGAGAGACCCTCAAAACTTGACAATCTTCCTTATGCACGTAAGCAGCCCCACTCTCCAAATTCCTTGGTTGGCTCTCCCCGACCGACCTATGAAGCGTTCAGTGCCATGGCTGCCTTGCCTACAAATTACTGCTGAAGGATGCAGAAAATGATGGGGGAGTAGTTGAGTCTGAGACCCCCACCCCCACCCCACTGGAGATAACAGGGACTTTAATATTACTGGTAATCCCTGATTTAGAGCTTGCCCCATTTATGACCTTTCTTGCTACGGTTGTTAAGCGAATCACTGCATCTGTTAAGTTAGTAACACAGTTAAGTGGGTGTGGCCTCCCCATTGGCTTTCTCATCAAAAGGCCGCCACAGGTGATCACATGACCCCAGGATACCGCAACTGTCATAAATGAGTTGATTACCAAGCATTTGAATTTTGACCACATGACCATGGGAATGCTGTAATGCTCACAAGGGTGAAAAATGGTCGTTAATTCACTTTTTTTCAGTGCTACTGTAATTTTGAACAGCCACTAAATGAACTGTTGTATACTTCGCTGAAGAGTGTCACATGGTTTTTACAGCAAGGAATGATTTTCTTTCACAGATGGAAGCATGCCTCTCGGAAGGCTCCTCTTTCATAAATCTCTGTGCAAGCTTCCAGATGGCATCTAACATACATCTGTGGGTGTGGGTTTAGTCAAACCTTTAATCTCACCCAGCAGGGCATGTTTTCATCCAGTGTCGGTACAATGGTGCCCACCAGATGTTTTAGACAGAATGGCAGAATGGTAAGCAATTACAGGAACTGTAATTGAAAATATCTAGATGTTAGTAAACTGCGTACCCCCTTTCTGAGAGTTGGCGTTCAAATAGAAAATAAGCCGCCTCCTGCATCTTTACCGACTTAATCTTTTGAATCTATGTGGAATCAATTTCTCCAAAATGATTGGCACTAATTGGTCTATACTATTATTTATTATCAAAAGGGCTTAAATGAACTATTCCTTTCTGCTTCACGTTGAAAATAAATCACCATCTCATTTCCTTCCACACTAAAAACTCATCTGAGCAGCATCACCAAATTTTTTAATAAGACAATAGCAACACTACCTAGCTTTAATCAAAGTTAAACTTAATTTAATCAATCTAATTGACGAAGGGAAAAAGTGTGAATGGAAAAAAGGAGAAAGTCTAATTGATTTCTCAAAAGAAACCTGTAAGAAAAGAAAAACTTTACAGTACAAATAAAATAAAGCGGACATGGGATAGGCTGATCCACAATGGATCCCACTGCATATCTGAGAGCTTCCACTTCCCTTTTTCATCACATTGCTCAATTCTGTTTGCCAATTTTTTTTGCAAGTGCACATTTCGGCCTCCATTTTCTTTACATAGGTATCAAAGGAACTTATGTAACATCAGTGCTACAAATAACCAAATGTAGTGGATTTTACCGTAACCTAAATGCCCTTTGTGGGCCAAGGGTAGCTATGAAACGGATTTCTCCCTTGTGTTCCATCATACCCCTATGTCAACTGAGTGTGACATCTATTCAGCACCATCTGTGCATTCCTAGGACGCATAAATAACACAGGAATCGAACCTCCCAAGCTTGTAAACAGCCTTGTCAACAACTCCCCACTAAGATCACTGCTGAAAGAAGGAAGGTCCGTTTGTGTTTGTTCCCCTTTTTTCAAGGAATAAAAATGTGGAATGGTCAGTGTTAAATAATGCAGTCTAGAAAAATAGTAAAACGCCATTTTTTTTCAGTCCCGTTTGCAAGAATAAACTTCATATCAAACTCTACAATGGAGAAAACATTGATACTTCAGCTTAAAAGTGGAGCCACAGAGGTATCTATCTCAGAAGCCATCACCTGAGCCCCCATGGTTATTTTAAAGAAAGAAAGAAAAAAAACAGGAGGCAGAAGAATTATGTACATCCTCAGCTGCAGAAGTTAAAGGATGTAAAATATGTAATTCTATACTTATACGACTTCAAACTTGACAGCTTTAAGACTTGTGGACTTCAACTCCCAGAATTTCTCCGCCAGTCATGATAGCTCAAGAATTCTGGGAGTTGAAGTCCGCAAGTCTTAAACTTGCCAAGTTTGAAGACTCTTGGATAACATACTCAAGTCTTTTTCATTCACATTCCAATTCTACCCCAAAGTGCTGCTACAAGAGGGAATAAAACCACAATTCTACAAATGTGAGCCCACTGTGATGTAGAGGTTAAGGTACTGGACTGGTAATAGAACATGTGAATTCTAGTTCATCTTCCCCTGGGATCTTTCTGGATAATTATGGAGCACTGAGTTAGTGTTGTGGTTTGCCGGCAGCAGGTGCAGACGGCTGAGGTCTCTGAGAGCGAGGACTTGGGAGGAGAGGCCTGCGTGTGATGCAGGGATTGGGCCAGGACTATCGGAGAGTGGGGTGCTGCCTTCGGAGCTTTTGGAGTCTGGCAGCAGTGACGCAGAGGACCCCGAGGAGCCTGTGCCCAGTGCGCGTAGGGCTGCTTGCAGGAAAGAGCAGCTGCAGCTGGGTGACTCAAGAGTAAGGCTGCAAGGTGATGGCCCCTCCCATAAGGGATAAAAGCCAGCCCTCAGGGGTTGGGTTCTTTGCAGGAAGCAATGAAGTTCTTTCAACTCCAAGTTCTTGTGGAATTCTATCCTATTTTGGTTTGTTTTCAGAGACTTTTGGTTTTGGATATTTCCCTGCAATTAATCTTGTGTTCTCTTTCACAACCTTGAAAGGGCTTGCTCTTACCTGGGACAATTAGTTTTAATGACTCTTTGCTGTGAATGAACAGAATTCCCAGAGACACATTAAAAAGGTTTGCTTTTATATATATTTTGTGTTTCTTTAATTTGAATGAGTCTTGGGTCAGAACAGTTCAATTCCCTTTCACCTCAGTGACATATTTGACATACCTATATCTTTCTTAGAAAGTAGTGTATTTTGAAACAGCCTCTAAATTTCCCAGTTTTGTCTGTAGCCCTGGAATTTCCTTGAGGTCTTCTACCCAAGCACAATTCCATTTAGCTTTCTAGGCCCAGGCATAATCAGCCAGATTTTTTTGTTGACATAATAGTAAACATGCTTGAGTAGCATTCCACTTTGCAATGCTTCATTGCAGGATCTTGCAACTATTAATCTATTGATACAAAACATTTGATAAGGCCACTCCTCAGGATTGAAATAGAATAGGCTTTAAGTGAGTTTGTGGTACTGATAGAATTTAATAGCCTGACACTTTTTAACAGTACATCGAATATGATGAGAATTTCTAAGTCAAGACTAGCTATAGAACACATGTGCTTTTCTGTTCAAAGGCACAACCCCTAGGTTTGGATCTCTCATCTGTAGCTCTCAATTTTATATTTGTTCACTTAGTTTCTCTTTACATTTGTATTTTATGTGGCTAGTTACTAGGAAAAGTATTAGGAAATTGACTTGAGGGGGTTCTGAAGGTCCCATGTTCCCCAAAACAAAATGGTCGATTTGTTCCATGCCTTCACCTTGGCTTTCTTATCCCCTCAGCAAACTTTTTTGTCTTTTTTTTGTGGACAACTGGATAAATATCCAAAGAATATACTGGGTTGCTGTCACTCACCCTTTTTTACTTACTAGTTTACTTACTAGGTGAGCATATAGTTATTTAGGTATATTAGATTTATATTGTATTGCTTTGGGTTTGATTACTCAGTTTTGGGGTGTTATTTTTGGAAATCACTCAAAACAATCTTTCTCTCTCTTGCATGAAGTGCCCTTTTGTTCATAAGCACGGTGGTATCTGCAGCAATCAACGGTGACCTCAGAGTCACAGTACAAGCAGCTCCTCAGAGGAGCTCTTCACGTATCACGTAAACTCCACCCTTGCATACTTGCACCGTGACATCTGAGGCAAATAAGCAAAATGCATTTGCCTGATGACATCGTCACACGCATGCCTTGGTTTCCCCCATGAGCTGTCTCTCTCTGTGGATGCCAATGCAACATTAATTGTACTCACAACCTGAATATCAGATATTACAGTTCAAGTGGAACAGCCCAATTCCACCAATCTAAATTCTTAGCATTAGTGACTCAGGGTAAATAGCAATTCTGGAAGAAGTTTGAACAAATGGCTGGTAAAAAGCAAGCAAATCTGTAGTTTGTAAAGCAGGACAGCCTTTTCTCTGATCAAATATATCAGTTTAACATTCCAAACAAATGCTGCCTAGGGGTTAATATAATATAATTCTGTCCAATTTAGGTCACTTGCCATGAAAATGCTTGCTGTGTTAAAAAAAAAACCTCTTAAGTTTGATCATAAAAACAAATACCAGATTTTGAATTCTGGACAAATCTTTATTTTTCCTTTATAAAGGTAAAATCATGATACTTTAATCTACTTCTAACCAATAGCTCTGTAATTGGCATATGCCTACTTACTTCTGGGCCCAAACACTAAATTCTGGGCCCTTAATTTTCACATGTACTTTTAGCCAAAACAACAGCTTCTACTAAGAAATCTCTGACTGCTGACTTCTCTTTTCCAGTGTTATTATGAAGACACAATGAAATAACAAAAAAGCAATTATTATTTCCACTCATTGTGAATTGAAGACCAACAGTCATTAGTGCCCTCATAACGTCTGGATTTAAAACATTAACTCAAGCAATTACATTTGCCTTAATGCAGAACCCAAAAAGTCCATGGAAAACCTATTTATGTAATCCAGGTGTTTTTTTTTTCTTTTTAATATTTATTCAGAATTTCAAAAAAAAAAATTAAAACGAGAAACAAGCTCTCACATTTTACAGCATTTTCATAGCAGTGCACATATCCTTTAGTGACAATTCCGTTCATTTACTTCAAATATATCTATCATTCGTTTGTTGAATCCTTATTGTGTTGCTATTAAATTATCATATTTATTTATTTACATTACTTTACATATATACATATTTACATACACATATATCATGTGTCTTGTTCTTCTTTGGAATTTCTTTGATCATTTTCACTAAACATTTTTACTTCCTTTTTT